AGATGTGTGATGGGCAGATGTGTGATGGGCAGATGTGTGATGGGCGGATGTATGTTTGGTGGATGTTCTTCATCTGGGTGGACGCTGCATGCTGCTGATACTTGAGGAGTTTCTCCTTCTCACTGTGTATATAATGCGCTCTGAGTGAAAAACCCTCACTGGCTACTGGAACATGATTTAAAATGATTTAACTACCTTATTTAACTATTTGAAAATATTAAAATTATTATGTTTTTGTTATATGCTTGTAAAGCGACCCTGAGTTTGTAGAAAGGCACTATTTAAAATAAATCCATTCTTCTTATTAAAGTTCAAATTGCTTAAAGGGGTCATCGGATGCCCATTTTCCACAAGTTTATATGATTCTTTAGGGTCTTAATGAAAAGTCTATAACATACTTTGGTTAAAATTTCTCAATGGTAGTGTAAAAAACCTTTTTACCTTGTCAAAATCAGCTCTGTTTTCAGCACGCCGTTCAAGTCCATGTTGCTTTAAATGCTAATGAGCTCTGCTGACCCCGCCCCTCTCTTCCGTGGGTGACGAGCCGTTCTCATGATACTGTTTACTTTAGCCACAGAACTTGCTAACTAGCACGTTATTAGGAAAGGCGATTTGCAAAGATTCATAAAAAAAACCTTTATACTCATCTCTTCTGTAGATGAAGCTGGGTCATGAATGATTCACGCAAACTTAAATGCATTTAGGCAGATCGGGGATCGACGCATTACTTTCAAAAACGAAAGTATCGTTAATCCTCTGTGTCTTCAGTGGCTCAGATGTCGGGAGTAAATGACGACTGCTATGTTCATTATTACATCCAGCAACAGAACACCTCGATTACTTAATCGGAGACATTCTTGTCTTCCCCTGCACTGGAGTCGACACAATGGCGGACTGATGACAGCTCACTCAGGGCGGAGCTAAGGTAAGACGGACTTGTCAATCAACTATCGTGGGAGGGGCCTGTGCAGAACTACGTCATTCTGACAGGAATCTCAGAACAGCCTGATTTGAGAATTTCAATCATTATAGGGTGGATGTGTACACACACTTCCAACACACATTTATGTTCAAAAAACAACAAAAGTGAATTTTGCATCCGATGACCCCTTTAAAAAATTTTTAATTTCAGTTATAAATGAGGAACAAAGAAACCCAGCAAGTAAAAGCAAAAAAAAATGCTTGAAGTTTTTGTCTGAGCAGGTTGTTTTATTACTGTGCCAGGACTATCAGTCTGCATTTTCACATATGATGGACTGTTGACAGGAATTTCTCAAGACAAACGTTTTCACCAAGACGTGCAATTGACCACATCGCATGCATCGCTTCAGAAAGCATCTTTACCATTGCAGCCTTTTTGACATCAGCAGTCCGATCTGTAGTTTATATAGCCAAAACACGTACAGTGCTGTGAGAGGCTTTCCCTGATTAGAGTCATATGGTTTTGGAATAACGTGAGGATTATGAATATAATATATATTCTTCTGGGGCCGCTGTCATGAGCAGTTATGATGGGAAGAGATCGTCTTCATAGGGAAAGGCTGTACGTGGTGTTGTTGAAAGGCGGCGTTGTTCAGGCTCTTGGCTGGCTCTCGTCCAGGCCGCTGGTCTGATAGCGCCTCTGTTTTCCCAGTGGAAGAGCCTGAGCTTCAGCAGGTGCAGGAATCACTGTGCATCAATCGCTCACACACATTCACTGTCAGCGTGGTGGCAAGAACAGTTTCATGTCACCTCGTGCACAGAAGCATCATTCCATTCTGAATCCTGACATTCTCATCTAATTCATTCATCTGATTTACCATGCAGTTTGCCTTCATTGCCAAGTTATTATTATTTTATTTTTTTTTACAGTGAGACGTGCTTGTTGTTAAAAAAGGTTTGGCTGTTTGCATTAAACATCAGACACATAGCAGAAAACTATGCTGCGTCCCAATTCACCTTCTTACACTATGCCCTAAAGTATGCATTCTTCTTGTGAAGAAAACGGTGATGCTTTGGAGTGTTTCGCAGAAGAGCAGAGATGCTTTGGGACAAACTACCACCTCATAAAACTGTGTTCTGTCTGTAAAGCGGCCTGTCAGTCATCCTGTCAGAAATGAAAGGATTCATGATCCTAACAGCTCCATTGATGATTCTTTTAGTCTTTTGTTGCCACATGATGAGATAATCACATGATAACAAATCAGACAACATTTTCATTCTTGCAAAGGGTTTCATACAGACTTTTTATACAGGTAACATTATTCTAATAATTGGCCCTAACTCTATATTACATAAAGTAACGCATTTCATTCGTTCATTCCTTGGTTCTGGTATTTTGTAAAACATGGTTTGTTTGGTTCCTATGTTTAGACACAAGGGTTGGTCTTTCTTGCCGTCCTCTTTTCTGTTTCCTCAGGTATTTTTGTACTGCTTCACAACTGATGCATTACGATTTAGCAAAGACTAGCACACAGTGCTCCTCATAACATCACATCACACATGCTTTGTGTGTTTTCAGAGAATGAACAAAGTGCAGAACGATGGCGTTCGGAAAAAGGACTGGCATGACCATGCATTTATTAAGAGCGAA